AAGGGGGCCTGCATGTTCACAAATATTGCAAATTAGCAAATGTATAAAAAGGGGGGAGTCAGAAACCAATAGTTTATATTCTTATTATTTCCCTTTTCCTTTTTAGGTATTTTAGCTTTTGTTAAATTTGCTTTATCTTTTTTTCCATATATATATAATGGAGAATTTAATACTAAGTAATTAGCTTACGTTTGAAATCATTATCATACAACCAGTACTTTGAAGTGAGTTGCAGCTGTTCCTTTCTTGATGTTATATTTAACTTTGGATGAAAAAGCCAAATAATTTTACGCTTGCAATAGTGACCTCCTAACTCGTAATTAATATTGAAAGAATTTTTACTTTCCTTTCTCCATTTTCAATACTTTAAGCTATCTAAATAATAGAATGTTAATAATCTCTAAGCATATCAAACATCACTGTACTGAAACAATAAATATATCAAGATTGATAACAATATCATAAAAGGGAGAAAAAAATCTTCTCATCCCTACCTCCACCAAAGGGGAAGAAGAGAAGGCCCCCGTCATCCTGCAGTTTTTGCTCATTGACAAAAAGAAAAGGAGTTGTTCCAGGAGGAGTTCATGAGTTGCAATGCTGCAAAAGGTAGGAGTGATTTATTGAGATTTCTGATATCCTGCAACGGAGGGGAAAGACACAGGCTCAGTTGCCACACTCAGATTGCAGACAGAGTGAGTTCACGTAGGTTCAGAGTTAATTCTGGAGTGGTGCACAGACCCCATGTAGAAGTGCCTGCAGGTATCACGGCTAATGCCCTTTGTAACTAAAGCTAGTAACTGTTTGCGCAAGCCGTTAATAAAACCCTCCGAGTTCAGATGTTTCCAGGGGAGGCTTTGATTTTACAATCCTCTTGCCTAATTTATAGAGTTTGAAAAGAGGTCCGGGTAATGTCATCATCCACCTGAAATGCTTTTTTTCCTATTAAAATATAATAAGGCGGGGGGGGGGGAAGGCTGGAATACTGCACAATGTTTTTGGGCTTTTCTCTGCTGTCCATCTAACTTTCAGTTGGCAGAAAACTTTATGGAATTTGCATTCATTTTTTTCTAGGCTGTAACTTCAGGCCATTAATTCCATATTCTGCATTCCGGGATGAAAGAGAGAATAGAAGATGACCTTTTTCTGTGTGACACCTCTGCTGATATTTGAAAAGTGCTATCATATTCCTCATTAGTTGTCTTTTCCTAAGGCCCTAACCTGGTCCTTCAGGTCTTCCAACAATGCACCCATTATTACTGTAACTGAGTCTACCATCCTCATCTCCTCTTTCCTTCCACCTTTCCCAGCATTATTGCTTTCTGCAGAGAGCTGGGTCTTCACAGAATGTGTCCAAAGTAGGATAATTTGAGCCTGATCATCTGTGCCTCAAGTGGGAACTCTGAGTTAATTTGTTTGATGATTCATCAGTTTGTTATCTCGGCTGTCCATGGTATTCTCAGGAGTCTCCTCCAACACCAAAGTTCAAAGGCATCAATACTCTTCTTACCTTTGTTCTTCAAAAACCAACTTTCACTTCCATAGTGTTACATTTAATGGATAGGTCCATGTAATTTTCTTGGCAACAGTATGGAAGTAATTTGTATAGTATTGTCTGCTTCCAGGATTTTATTTCCACTTCTTCATCCAGCTGTAGGATCCTGGCATTTCTACCAAGAAATGGCATTTCTACCTGGCATGTCTCCCATCCAAGCAGTAACCCATCCAACCTTGGTTAGCTTTTCAAGGCAAGAAGGCTCTACATTTGTAATACCTGATTACAGCTTACTTAGGAGGAGTCTGGTAGCATCTTTTCCAACTAATAATTTTTATTAAAAGGCTTTTAATAACATTTGGAAAAGGCCCTCCTGATTTTTTGCTACCATATCCTAACACAGCTTTCCTCCTACAAGGTCTGAATAGGGCTTATTGCTTTTCATGACTTGAAAACTGTATTTCTATTCATGCAACCCAGAATTGTGTTTGCCATTTTGGTCATCATATCATATTGCTGATTCTACAGTTCCAAGTTTCCTTTTGTAACATTGCCAAGCTATTTTCTTCCTTTCAGTACCTTTACATTTCCTTTGCATTTCTCTCTTAAATCTTTTATTTTTCAGCCCACTTCTTTAACCAATCAAGATCATTTGAATTTTATTTCTGTCTCCTAGTGTTTTCGCTATCCTGTTTCTTTTGGGAAATTTGACGCACTGTCCCTCCATCTCATCATCAATGTCATTAAAACAAACGTTGAGGAGTACTGTGCCCATGACCTTGTGACGTCCCATGGAATACATCCTTCCATCTCATTCTGGCATCAAAACCATTGGAAAGCATTGGAGAACTGCTCCTGTCTGTGCTCCTGCTCTCTGAAGATGCCGGTCACAGATGCTGGCGAAACGTTAGGAAACAAAACTTCCAGAACACGGCCACACAGCCCGGAAGACCCACACCAGCCATCATATTCCGGCCATGAAAGGCTTGAACAATACATTGGAAAGCATTTTTTTAGCATGATTTTGAGCCAGATGTGTATCCACTTAATTGCCATATCACTTAGCTCATTCTGAACTAGCTTGCTAATTACTGTAGAATATCATAGGGATACTTTGACATGGTTGTGTGCATGGTAGAGGTGATAGATGGAGGTAAATATCCACTCACTTTCATATATAATGCAATTAAAAGACTTCCAATAAAATAGGTTGGGCAAATAGTATCAGGTCAGAGAAAAAAGACAGGACCGCTCCATATAGCATTAATCCACTTAACAAAATTGAGTTGGCTCTAAAAAGAGATTCATTGAATTCATGGAGGAGAAAAGAAGTCTATTGACCAAAGAGAACACTTCAGAGGCCGAGTACCATGAATACCAAATGTGGTTGGAGGCAATAATTATTTTCCAATCTTGTTTGCAAGCTTGTGAGGAAACATCTGCCTGCTCACTGCTGGAGACAGAATTTAACTGGGCTTTTCACTGGATATAGAAGGACCATCCTTATGGACAGAGATCATCTCTGAAAAAGCCACCTCCAAACAGCTCAGTTACAGCTACAAAGAGAAGCAAAATAAAACAAAACATGCCCATTCTGTTGGAAGATAGATATGGACACCAGTTTGGGAAATAGAGGAATTTTATGTGTGTGTGTGTGTGTGTGAGTGTGTGTGTGTGTGTGTGAGAGAGAGAGGCAGAGAGAGAGAGAGAGAGATCTACATTTATATCATTGTTTGGAAACAATAGGCAGACCAACTGGGCCAAGAAGGGGTGCATTGCACTTGTGTTTCATAAGATGTGAGATCCCTTGATAGCTAAATTGAGTAAGGTGAACATGTTCCCAGGGAATAGATTTTTATTTCTTAATATTGACTATTTTTGACTGGTTGCAGAAAATCCATTTCACGGCAGCGTTGGAAAAGGTACACATGTTTCTCCTCAAATCTCTCATTTTCTGGACTAAATATTCCATCAGCCGCAGCAAAGCATTTGCTTGGGGCACCAGAACAGACTCGACTTGCACTCAGCTGCCTAATTTGGTTGGGGAAAAATAATGATGTTCTTGATGTTATTAAACAATTGAAGTAGTACAGTACTAGTGCCGACTGGCAGAAGAGTCTGTCTTCTACCTGTCACCCACCCATATTTCCCCATTTCATTCTTCAGCGTTAATCAAGAGGACTGGAAGATTCTCCAGGGTAGGTTTAGAGTGAGATGGGAAGTAGAAAGAGATCCAAGAGATGACGTCCTTCTTGTAACAACAGAAATCCACTTCTTCTTTCTTTTTATGGGATGATTTATTTGTGCCCAGTCTTTGTACCCAAATGAATACTAACAATAATTAAAAGGCAGAATAGTTGTATAATAGGCATAGCATATCATCATCATGGTTCAAGACTTTAATGAGGACCATGTCAATCTCTTGTCTTTCAGGTTGAATTCTTTCTTCTGTGGCTTTTACATAAGAACTTTAGAAGACCAGGCCAATGGTTAGTCTAGCATTCTTATCACACGCTGGCCAAACAGATGCCTTCAGGAAACTCACAAAGTCATCATGGTGGGGCTTGTCTGTGAGGATAGTAAGTCAGGTGGGGTACACAAGCTTTGCGGCTGAGCGATGGTGGTCAGCTAGTCCTCCCAGGTTAGGCACTCATGTGTCAAGGCGCCTGGACTGTTTGCCTGGGACTCTGGTCCCATTTACTCTGTCAACAGGATCAAAGAGCCAGTGTTTGGCAAGTGGGAGGAGAGGACAGGGCAGAAAAACATGCTCTTTCATCCTTCCCTCTGCCGCACAGCCAGGTTAGAAGAGACAAAACGTGAGCGAAGGGTTGGAAAAGTGGAGAGGAAGAGCAGAAAAACGCAGCCAAAACAACACAACAGAACTGAGCCTCAAAATATATCTGGATACAGGGAAGTCCCTGCCTGCCTGCCTGCCTGCCTGCAGTATAGCCGGTAGAGTTTCAGAAGTTGAAGTTTTCTCCCAATTTGTGTGTTTCTGTTAAAAATACAAATCTGCTGGAGAGAAGAGTCTCATGGCAGTTTCACAAGGGATCTAAAGTCTGCCCCAGGTCTTTAAAAAAAAATCCAAAATACCTGAATAGCAGATGAAACTCCTTCCCTCCAGTGTGACCTCATCTTAAATCTAGGTGGGAAAACAACACATTTTTTTCGTGGCCTCCAGAACCATCTCTGATCATAAATGTTAATAATTGGGTGGTGCAGTTTCTCAACATTTTGAGGCAGGAAAAACTTGAAAACATAGACGTAACATTTGAAAACATAGGAAAAAATCCAAAAATAATATTAATGCCCTTTGTCCAGCCTACATGCATGATATAGCCCTATATATTGCTATTTTGTCTCATTCCCTGTGGCCTCCAGGCACCAGAAGTTTGCCCATCTCTGTTCTAGATCAAAGGGTAGGTGAGATAATCTTTTTCAATGGGTTGTGAAGGACAAGTCCCCTCCCTGGGTGCTTTAAAATCAATGGAGAGAGATTTTAGGGGCATTTCCAACACATAGGAAAATGGGTTGGTTGTTTCTCTTCTTCAGTTGCTCCAGAGTGGTGGGACAGCTTGCCCTGGCATCACCATCTCTGTTTGGACATTTTGTTGTCTGGTGTCAATCTGCCCTTTTTTTCAGTCATATGTGTCATCTTTGGCTGTGCTAAGGACAGGTAAATTGTAAACAAGAGAAAGGGATGAATTCTGATGAGCGTGCGTTCTACACGGATAAGGCAGACATTTGTATAGAAAAGAAGCCTAGGAAAGAAGTTAAGTTTTGGCTTTTTACACACAGAGGAAATCACTATCCAGACTTTTTTGTCTTTCTTATCAACAATTGTTAAGTCTGGGGTGTTGTATGGCAGGTGCTTGTCCGTCTGAATTCTAAAGTCCCAGAGCACTTTAGTTTCTTCATTTTCTATCACTTTGTCTGTTTTGTGGTCCCACCAGTTCTTGCTTGTAGGCAAATGGCATTTCTTGCAGATATTCAATGCCCCATTGTTGCTACTTTATTATTATTATGGTTGATCGCACAGTCAGCCAGATATTTACACTTGATTTGGCATCATCATCATCATCATCACCGTCGCTGCTTTTGGATGAGTTTAGACAGTGACTTGGTTCCACCTGCCATTTCAGATTCAGCAATCCACAGTGAGGTCTGGACTGATGAAAGCAGCGCTGTGGCTTCACAGCACAAACCCAGCCCTTTTCTGCACGTCTGCATTGCACCCTGCCCAAGGGGACAGGATCTGAGGTGTGGGACCGTAGCACTGCTTTTTTTATTTTGATGAAAGCAGTGGGGGCCTGTGGATGCCACTGGTGGGCATGCTCTGGGTCCTTTCCCTTAACTCTTGCCATCTAGTGGGAACTAGGCAGTGCCCCTGCTTGGTGGCTGCCCCTGCCTTTCGGAGCCCCCTCCCCCCTGAGATCCGGCAGGCCCTCCTGGCCTTCGGAAAAGCCTTGAAGATCTGCCTTTCCCCACAAGCGTTGGGGTAGTGTGTTGGCTGGAGCCCAGGAAAGTTTTCTGTTGGATGTGAGGGGGGCGTTGTTTGGGGGCAGTTTTTATGCCGGTTTCATGCTTTTTATTGTTTTATTATTGTTTGTAAGCTGCCCAGAGTTATGATACATAAGATGGGCTGCTATATTGATAGTCAAGCAATCAAGCAATCAATAGGCAATAGTGAAGCAGTCTGAATTCGTAACTGATGTTATACACTGGCATGGAGAAAAGTAATCAACAAAAGGAAGGATAAGCATGAATGTCCACAGGGGGGCAAACGATGATATGTGTCATGATGTCATGACATCACTTAGGACTTGCATCAGACATAGTGATGCAAGTCCTTTGCATGATGACATCATGATGTATCTGTTATGTTGACATCAGTGTGGCTTTGCATTTTCTCTAAATAGGTCTTAGCTACTTTTCATGTCTCCCTGCACAGGAGTCTTTGTCACTTTAAATCTACATATTCCTCATACACAAGGTACTTCTCATACAAATAAAGATTGCTGCACTGGTACATGAACAAAAGGAAATTGGAACATTAACAGTGGCTCGATATCTTTATCAGGATCCACCAAAATGCTACAACTGAATGGCTAAGTTTTCAAATGTTCAGAAACTTTCCATCAGATTATCCCCTGCCTTTGGAGCTACCTAGTTTAAGAGTTCTTGAAAACTTGCATTATCTTTTATGGAATTTTGATTGATTATCATTCCAAGATCATTTGGTTTCTCTCATCTTGATCTCTAGACCATCCTAGGAGGAGATGGCAGATTTAATAAATCCACAGGGAAATTTAGAAGTAAATCTTCTGCTTATGTGGGCTGGTAGTCCAGGCTACAGTTCAGCCCTTCCAAATTTGTAGTCTCAAGCAAGCGAGGTAGCTGGGCCTGCAGTGACCTCTCTTTCAGTCGGGCAGCATTGCCCCCTAGTGGCAAACACCCACATCTGACCGCTTTGGGGGGTGGGTGATCAGTGTTGCTGCCCACATGCACTGGAACGGGCAGGTGGTTTCAAGGTAGAGATGGGCAGAATCCCTGCTGATCTTCCTGCTCCCAACCAGCACCATCGACTGCTGGACACAGCCGACTATCACTCCCCTGAATGTTTGGTGGGCCAGGACTGGGGGACTCTGGATCCTGCCTGCTCCTTCATGCACAGCTGGAATACTTCCAGGATGGATGGAGGGAGGGAGAGATGACAAATAGAGATAGAGATAGAGACAGAAACACCTCAGGTCCGTCCTCCCTCCCTCCCTCCCTTCCTTCCTGGACATGGTGGCACAGAGCCCTGTAACTAGATGGGAGATGGTGGCCTTGCAAGAGGCCAATCGGAGCTTGGCAGTTCACTGATCTCCAAGGGTTCTTCCTCCAGGTGCTGTGGAT